TGTTGTGGTGTCCAACAAAGAGCCTCAGATGTCTCCATACATCTCTATCACAGCAGCAGCAATGTCCACTATCTTGGGTGTGTATACTGTATTGTTGTTGTTGTCGTGTCCAACAAAGAGCCTCAAATGTCCCCATACATTTCTATCACAGCAGTCACAATGTCCACTATCTTGGGTGTGTATACTGTATTGTTGTTGTTGTCGTGTCCAACAAAGAACCTCAAATGTCCCCATACATTTCTATCACAGCAGTCACAATGTCCACTATCTTGGGTGTGTATACTGTATTGTTGTTGTTGTCGTGTCCAATGAAGAGCCTCAGATGTCTTCATACATTTCTATCACAGCAGCAGCAATGTCCACTATCTTGGGTGTGTATACTGTATTGTTGTTGTTGTCGTGTCCAATGAAGAGCCTCAGATGTCTCCATACATCTCTATCACAGCAGTCACAATGTCCTCTATCTTGGGTGTGTATACTGTATTGTTGTTGTTGTCGTGTCCAATGAAGAGCCTCAGATGTCTCCGTACATCTCTATCACAGCAGCAGCAATGTCCTCTATCTTGGGTGTGTATACTGTATTGTTGTTGTCCTGTCCAATGAAGAGCTTCAGATGTCTCCATGCATCTCTATCACAGCAGCAGCAATGTCCACTATCTTGGGTGTGTATACTGTATTGTTGTTGTTGTCGTGTCCAACAAAGAGCCTCAGATGTCTCCATGCATCTCTATCACAGCAATCGCAATGTTCTCTATCTTGGGTGTGTATACTGTATTGTTGTTGTTGTCGTGTCCAACGAAGAGCCTCAGATGTTTCCATACATCTCTATCACAGCAGCAGCAATGTCCACTATCTTGGGTGTGTATACTGTATTGTTGTTGTCCTGTCCAATGAAGAGCTTCAGATGTCTCCATGCATCTCTATCACAGCAGTCGCAATGTCCACTATCTTGGGTGTGTATACTGTATTGTTGTTGTTGGCGTATCCAACAAAGAACCTCAGATGTCCCCATGCTTCTCTATCACAGCAGTCGCAATGTCCTCTATCTTGGGTATATATACTGTATTGTTGTTGTTGTCGTGTCCAATGAAGAGCCTCAGATGTCTCCATACATCTCTATCATAGCAGTCGCAATGTCCTCTATCTTGGGTGTGTATACTGTATTGTTGTTGGTGTCGTGTCCAATGAAGAGCCTCAGATGTCTCCATACATCTCTATCATAGCAGTCGCAATGTCCTCTATCTTGGGTGTGTATACTGTATTGTTGTTGTGGTGTCCAATGAAGAGCCTCAGATGTCTCCGTACATCTCTATCACAGCAGTCACAATGTTCTCTATCTTGGGTGTGTATACTGTATTGTTGTTGTTGTCGTGTCCAATGAAGAGCCTCAGATGTTTCCATACATCTCTATCACAGCAGCAGCAATGTCCACTATCTTGGGTGTGTATACTGTATTGTTGTTGTCCTGTCCAATGAAGAGCTTCAGATGTCTCCATGCATCTCTATCACAGCAGTCGCAATGTCCACTATCTTGGGTGTGTATACTGTATTGTTGTTGTTGGCGTATCCAACAAAGAACCTCAGATGTCCCCATGCTTCTCTATCACAGCAGTCGCAATGTCCTCTATCTTGGGTATATATACTGTATTGTTGTTGTTGTCGTGTCCAATGAAGAGCCTCAGATGTCTCCATACATCTCTATCATAGCAGTCGCAATGTCCTCTATCTTGGGTGTGTATACTGTATTGTTGTTGGTGTCGTGTCCAATGAAGAGCCTCAGATGTCTCCATACATCTCTATCATAGCAGTCGCAATGTCCTCTATCTTGGGTGTGTATACTGTATTGTTGTTGTGGTGTCCAATGAAGAGCCTCAGATGTCTCCGTACATCTCTATCACAGCAGTCACAATGTTCTCTATCTTGGGTGTGTATACTGTATTGTTGTTGTTGTCGTGTCCAATGAAGAGCCTCAGATGTCTCCGTACATCTCTATCACAGCAGTCACAATGTTCTCTATCTTGGGTGTGTATACTGTATTGTTGTTGTTGTCGTGTCCAATGAAGAGCCTCAGATGTCTCCGTACATCTCTATCACAGCAGTCACAATGTTCTCTATCTTGGGTGTGTATACTGTATTGTTGTTGTTGTCGTGTCCAATAAAGAACCTCAGATGTATCCATACATCTCTATCACAGCAGCAGCAATGTCCTCTATCTTGGGTGTAGGTGAATATATGTGTGAATGGTATCGAAACTAATTATACTAAGAGAGTTCTGTAGCTATAACCTGCGTGTGACATGCCATGTTTGTCCATAAGATAAGTGTCATAGTAAATCCTGGATAATTGCCCCATATGGCTGTAGCCCTAATGAATGTTTGCCATGTTTCTGTCAGGAGACGTTGTGTCTTGGTGGCTCCTTGTTGCCCTTTGTTCCTATTGTTGTTACTATTGTCATTGTTCTGACTCTCACGTTTATTGAATTTGGTTCTGTGCAATGTTGGTAAAACTATAGTTCTTATGGGAGTTATTGTTGTTATTGTTTAATTGTCAGATTGTTATTATAATTGTTGTTCGTGTGTTTTTTGAGATTATTTGCGTGTGTAGTTTTTTTTCATTGTTGTTATTGTATTTGTGATATTCTATTGTAATCACTGTATCGTGTGTGTTATTAAATTTGATGTTATAATTAATTGTCATTGTTGATGAGAATTGTTGTCGTTTTGTATGGCTATTGTGATTATTGTCATTGTGTGGGATAATTGAATTGTTGTTATTGTAATTGTTGTTATTGTCATTGTTGTTATTGTATTTGTTGCTGCTTTATTTTGTGTTTATTATTAAATTTTATGTTATAATTAATTAATATTTTTGATGAATTTTTTTGTTATGGCCATTGTAGATATTGTGGTGGTGGTGCTTATCTCCATAGTTAAACCAATTCCTGAAGTCCACTCCTCTCCAATTTTGCGATGGTAGTTATTGGCCTTGAAAATAGGTCCTCTATTGTCAGTTCTGAGCATGACAAGATATGTTCCGGAGAAGTTTCCACACTATTGAATTTCAAGCAGTTTTGAAGGTTTTTTTGTCCATTTTGAAATTGTAAGGTTATTTATAAGGCACAATTTGGATTATAGATTATAAACACAAGGTAATAAGACCAAATCCAAATAAATAAATAGTGTGTGACGTTTCGGTAACAGCGTTGTTACCATCTTCAGACAAAAGTACTGAATGATTTGTTGCTACTCTTTTGTGTGTGTTATTAAATTTGATGTTATAATTAATTACAATTGTGGTAATGTGAAATTTTGTCGTTATGTCTATTGTTGTTATTGTATTTGTTTCTACTCTATTGTATTTGCTATATTGTGTGTGTTATTAAATATTTGATGATATAATAAATACCATTGTATTTGATCGATATTTTATTAAGCCCGTTGAAGAGCGATTATCACTTGAAAGCTAGCGTTTTGTAATAAAAAGAAACTCATTGTGAGAAATTTTTTTGTGATTTTAAATACCATTGTGTTGATCTTAATTGTTGCCGTTATGGCTATTGTTATTATTGTCATTGTTGTTATTTATCTATAACGATTTATTCATATTCTCTTCCAATCAATGCGAGTCTGAGAATAATCGGTACACATCTTATATACATGTTTAGCATATGGACAAAATATTGTTCATTTTACATAATGGTGGAATATTAGAATAAAACCTCTTTCGTATGTGTCCATATTACAACTTCATTAAAGTAGTAAGAATGTATGTTTTGGTTGTATTTATATTGATTTATTATGTCAACATAGTACTAATACAATTTGAAATTTATAATTAAACTTATTATGGCACCAATGTTTCTTTTGTAATAAATCAAACTTTGTCCTTTCCTTACTGCGATTAAAAAGTATTAGGAGAGCTTGGTACATCAGTGGTGAACATTCCCAGCGATTTCGTCAATTAAATCTATCAGACTGTTTTTAAGAGATTTAATACACAACACACACACACACAAAGCCTTTATTAAGACATTAGTCTAATACAGATTCTCCGTACAAGGTGCAATAACAGGAAAAGAGCAGCACAGGAAACCAGTAGTTCCGTAACTATATACAATTATTAGTAATAAAGAAAAGTAAGATTTAATATGAAAGGTCGACGCCATCTCCTCAAGTCTTCAATTCCATAAGCGCGGAGCAGAAATAGGGACTAAGTTATTGGAGTTTTAATACTAAAAACAAAAATGGCATATCCTGACCACGAGCAAATGTGCATTACAAAAGGCAGAGCACCATCTGGTTGAACAGAAATCAACTAAACATCCCTGGACCCTTTTATTTTTCCATTCATCATTAATCTTCACAATTCATCCTTTCATACTTCATCCATAAGGTTAGAAATAATCGTTATTTCTCCTTAAAATAAATTTCGATTTTTCGTTCAAAAGAAACACATGCGGGATAATTTTCAAATGTCGTTCTACAATTATAAGTCGCATTATATTGTATTATAAATTGATTTAACCTGTTTCTTGATATTTAGCCAACCCAATTTCTTGATAAATCAAGAAAAGCCATCCATGAAGATCTAATACTGTATTGGACAAATCTGGTTATATATGCTACACTGAAGGATGGAATCTCAGAAATGTGATATAAACCGTTGATTTCCTACAGCTACGATCTAGGATAGAATCCCGCATTGGACTTTTTTTTCTTCTGAAGCAAAAAAAATGCTTCAAAGGCCTCCTTTTCATATAAAAGTACAATCCCACCAAACGATGTTCTGAGTTATTTATGAGAAAAGTCTAACTTCTTCTGCATGTGTAGATATATGGTGAATTTACGATAGGTGTAATTGTTACTGTGGTATTTTGGATAACAATAGTTATGTTTAGATAAATTGTTGGATATGTAAATAAGGTTTTGCATAGTGGTTATAAATATGTTTGTTTTATTACTATGTACAATACTATGTTAATTATTTTTATGTATATATATATAGATATGGACTAGTGGACATGTCACCTGCCCGGTAAGCAGAAGGTTATGGGTTCGATTCCCGCCCCTGGACACTTTTATTTTTCCGTTCGTCATTACTCTTCACAATTCATCCTATCATACTTCATCCTTAAAGTTAGAAATAGTCGCTACTTCTCTTTAAAAATAAATTTCGATTTTTGTATAAAAGAAACATTCGCGGTATAATTGCAATTTTCGTTTTACAATCATCAGCCGCGTTATATTGTATTTTAAAATATATAGATATTCTTAATTTGTAAATAGTTCAGTTATATTAGTGTTTGTGAGACAATAAAGGTTTTATCACTTAATGGATCTCGGTGACCTGGAGTAATCGTAAGAACATAGAGACACAACAGTTACCTAACTACCTACCATGATTATCATGGACACGTGTACTAGGGATAATAACAAAAAAAGCTACCTTTTTCCATGCAGTACTTGAATTATATATATATATATATATATATATATATAAAAATAAATAGTTGTATAGTTTTATAGTTAAGTATTCTATTAAAATTATCTTCATTAGTTTGATTATTTAAATTCAAATTATAAATTTGTTAATTGTTATTATTTAGTATAGATAGAGAAAAAAAAAAAAATTCTTTACTTTTTTTTTTTTTTTTTTTTTTTTTTTTTTTTTTTTTTTTTTTTTTTTCTCTATCTATACTAAATAATAACAATTAACAAATTTATAATTTGAATTTAAATAATCAAACTAATGAAGATAATTTTAATAGAATACTTAACTATAAAACTATACAACTATTTATTTTTATAATTAATTTAGATTTAGCTTGCTAATCTAACCAAATCTACTTGATATGATTTATCATTCTGATCAGATTGCTCCTTAAGTTTTAAATGTAGTATCACTGTTATATTTTTATTATATAGTTTTTACACTATATATATATATATATATATATGTGGCAATATAGTGGTAAATGTGTTGAGGAGAGAAATAATCACACGACGAGTTGTTAGAGCAATCATCCAGGCAGCCAGCCGAGAGAGCGAGCGAGAGATTATCAGCTGAACGACTGTTTTCCCTGTGTACACAACCGGGGGGCTAACCAGGATAGTCGCCAGGTGGTGACGGCCCCCCCCCCCCCCCTCAGGAATGTGGCCAAAAATGGTCGTAAGTTAGTTGTCTAAAGTGTCTCGCTTTAGCTGCTCATCTCTCTCTCGTTGGCTGTTGGTTTGTTTTATTAATCCTGGAAGAGCATATATTATGACATATACATATGTCGAAGCTTCACAAAGAAACCACTTACATGTATACAGAGTTTATTCAAGACTATTGTAAGGTAAAAGCCATTTACACGCCATTTAACAATGGGATCAATTTAGCTCTAGTTGTTTTCTTTCAAATAAAACCTTTTTGTACCGAAATGAGATAAATGTTGACAAATCTTGGCTCATCATTGGGGTGAGCCCTTCAATTACTTGTGTGGGTGATGAAAATTACACATTATATATTTTCACAATTATATAGAATTTATAAAATTAATTCTCTATATTATTGAATTCAAAAAATAGGTAAGTTATCTATATATATAGATCATGTTGAGGATTATGGTAATGAGGTCGTGGCAAAAATATTTAAAAGAGTTTTGATTAGTGATTTCTTAAGGACTATAAAAAAAACATAATTTGATAAAAGTACTGCCTGGCTTAAGGCGAGTAGAACAAGGGAAACAAAAGATTATTTACATAATGTACAAAAGTTTTGAGCTGGCCATCGGCGAACAACAACAATGAGTATTTATAGGGAAAGTGTGATCTCTGGCGGTCGATTTAACAGAGTATTTGAATCTATGAAATATAATTTTAAATAAAATTTTTTAATATAACATATATATATTGTCGTGGAGATAAATAAGGCGAGGGCAAAGTTGGGGATAATTAATTTATTATAAATTGACCTTTTAGTTCTCCAATAAAATTATATACAAGAGGTATTTATAGGGAGAGAGATAACAACTTATCCCATGGTAAAAAAATAATGAGAGTGGTAAGCCACCGAGGCGTCCCGTTTTCTTATTTGCCTATATAAGATTTACAACATTTCTAAAGATATAGTCAAAAATGTAGAATAGTCAATGAATTAAAAAATATATATATTTGCATTTTTAGATTATATAATATATATATATCCTAATACCTTCAATTCTTCCTCCTTTTTTTCTATGTTCTGCTTAAATGACGCGTAACTGCAGAGGCAACAGCGTGAACTTGTTATAACCCTATGTTGTTACTTTAAAAAAAAAACTTTTTGATACCCTAATAGTAATATGTTTATAATTTGTTTTTAATTATCATTAATTTACAACTATTTTTCATATAAATTATATTTAATTCTACTATATATATATATATATAGCAAAGGAGGTATGTAGCCAAATAGAAATTAAAGATTCAGAAAGACCAATGTAGATGGTAATGCAGACGACACCTGAAGTTCCAGCCCATTGTGTAGGTACAAAAATACAACAAGATATATTTAAATGTAGACACCTGTCAACGAGGTCCAACCTGTACACCCACAATGGAGATAACTACATAAAACCATCAAGTTCGCAAATGATTATTTTTAAATAAAACAAATATTATACTGTCCATACACTTATATCCATAAATAAAAAGACATATATTGGATCAAAATGTCATTTATTTTACCAATATTTCAGTTGGCTGAACGCCAACCTTTATCAAGGTGTTATAACATATTAATGTGTGTCAACAACAAACTCAGCGACACAACGTCTATGTGTCGCTGAGTTTGTTGTTGACACACATTAATATGTTATAATACCTTGATAAAGGTTGGCGTTCAGCCAACTGAAATATTGGTAAAATTTTATTTTATTATTATAGAAGCACGAAGTCTATCAGACTATTGTGTTATATTAGAATTATTTACATATATATCTTTAATTATTTACACGATGTAGTGATTTATAAATCTGTGTACAAATTGCTCTAAACTTGCCAAAGTTTTCATAAGATTGAGTATATACAGAAAGATGGCATTATGTCAAAGTAAGCAAGTACAATTTGGTTAGTCAGAGGTCAAGCCAACACTCTGGTGTTTCAACATCTAGACAGCATGTTGGATCATTTATAACTCTCAAGTCAAAGACAAAACTTAAAAAGGGTCATTTGCCTGTGAAGAACAAAGTAGTGTAATAAATGATATTTTGATCCAATATATGCCTTTTTAATTAAAGATTTATTTATGGATTGCTCTATTTTCAAAACTAAATCCATATTAAGAAAAAGGCATCTTCTTATCGTGCAACAGAAAGTTTCTGATGGCTTGCGCCATCTATCGGAATAAATGTCAACTATTCTCGTTGATTTTTAATTATTCCAGAATTGGCCAAATACCCATTCTTGATTAATAAAAAAAAAAGCTAACCACGGACGCGTTTCGGGCTGTTGGCCCTCATCAGCGTGGTGCAAGCTGTACCTCAACAACCAAAAGATTGGTCATTAAGGCATCTTGAAAAATCATGAAACGGGTAGTTAAGGCCAGATTTGCATGGCAATTTTTGACAATTAAAATTATTTATTGTCTTCTTGACAATGTTACACAATTTCAAAACAGAGAGAGAAGAAATATATTACATAAAGATGAGAGAAGATATATACATATATTTTACAAGATGGGGGGTGAGGAGAGAAGACCTCGTCGCTGGAGGGTCCTGGACCAGGCGATGAGCGGGTCCTCCACTTCTTCTCCGAGCCCAACCTGGACAAAGTAGCGATAAATTCGCAACTTTGCCGATGCCAAGATGGAAAGGGCGTCGTCCTCAAGGCCGGACCCCGCCGGACCCGCCAGATTTGCGTGAGAACGCATGATAAGGAGATGGCTTTTTCTTAATTTATGAACCTTATCCCAGTACAATATCACATTTGTACTATTTTTTCACATTATATCCATATGTTTGTTTAAATGCCATAACTATAATCCCATCTCTACTTCAATGTCGCCTATAGAAACAGACTCTGTTAATGTTATTTAACCCTTTCAGTCAAATTATAAGAAAATCTCCGTTGAGGAAATAGGTTCTTTTTATAATAATTTAATTTTTATAATAAAAAAAAAAATTAATGTGAGCAATAATTACCTATAAATTATTTGAAAAATAAAAATCAGGTAAATATTTTCTCTCAATTTTGGATTTGCAAGCTTCCGAGCAAATATACTGTTCTTCAACAGGCTAAACAATAGAAAAATTGACCTCCCAACACAATATAACAATATCCCTGACAAAATATCCAAATATTAATAATCATTTGTGTGTATATATATTTCATCCCAGTATAATACCTACACAATATTACACCAAAACAATAACACAGGTCTACAAAAAAAACACTTTTTTTGCCGGAGAAAACCTGATATTGATTTTAATGTAACTTTTCATGCTGAATTCAAAAATGAAATCAGAAGTTTTCCATCACCCATAGTTCTTGCAGAATAACCATTTTTTCTATAAATTGGTATATACAGTAATAATGCAGAAATTCTTACGTAAGCATTTTGTAAGTAAACAAAATTACATAAGCTAGCGCTTTATTTCTGACAAGAAGAGTTGATTAATAATTATTAATATATAGATAACTTGTCAGGGATATTGTTATATTGGGTTGTGAGATCAATTTTTCTATTGTTTAACCCGTTAAAGAACAGTATATATGCTCGAAAGCAAATCCAAAATTAAAAGAAAATTTTTACCTTATTTTTATTTTTCCTTTTTTTTTCAATTAAAATAAATGATTTACTCAACGGATGTCTTTTATTTATAGAAGCAAGATTGTTCAATACAGTATTAAATCTCTTTAAAAAGCTATCTTCGATCGAAAGTCCAACCCCACCAGCGAGTGCAAGTAACCAAACGGGGCTCTGGCATATTTGTAAATGCAAATTCGAACTGTTTTTCACATGTGTAGACATGTGGTGCGCTTACAGTAAAAAGCAGTTGCTAACTACCCACCATGATTATCATGGTCTGTACCACGTGTACTAGGGATTAGCAAAAAAAA